GCTTTTCTAGTTCAATACACATACCTGAGAAAAGATGCAATATTGTAATTGACTTTTTGGAGGAGAGAATATAACAGATTAGTAGTATAGAGTTTTCCCTCTCGGATCCAATACCAATATGATGTATATAAGGCCATACCTGAAAAGATGCAGTTTTGGGGAAGAGGAAATTGTCCCTGAGTAACCTACTTAGGGAGTGCCCGGTGACCGGGTTTGGACTGGTTGGGACCACTTGGGTCCGCACACTCCAGATTTCGACCCCTGGTGCACGCGGCTATTGTTGGACCGCCGAGGGGGATCGCCCGGCCTATCAGGTAATATTGCGCCAAGTCTAGTACGTGTGATGATGTTGCTGTTGTGATTGTTTTTCTTAAAGATCTTCTCACGGCTACTGCTTCCTGTCGCATCATTGCAATTTGAGGTGCCGTGGCACTCAAGTCACGACATTGAATTGGGTGCAACGCCTCGTTTTTCCCAGATGTATCGTATTCTAGGGTGTGACATGGCAGCATCTTATCGGCCCAAATCTAACATGCACCAAACTTCATGCTTGCGTTGCTAAAGTGGAAGGGTGAACTTGGTACATGGCAGCAGCTGTGATGCACTAATTGACCGAACTTCGGTTCACTTGCAAAAGTGACCAAATTGCGATTGACTTGCAAACACTCGTGCAACAGGCATGCTCTTCTTGCACATCTCCAAGTTGCAATGGTCGCCCTTCATTTGCATGCGCGGCATTTGTTTGCGTTTGGCAGTGTATGGTGTCGACTCCTTATTTGTGTCATCGTTTCAAACAATGCAATATGTATGATAGCATTTGTATTACAAAGGTCACAAAATGGACTCATGTCACTCCACCAGGATGCTGGAACTGGTTCTAGCATATTAGAGTCAATCGATTGAATCCGACAAGGACAAGGACAAGGACAAGGACAAGGACAAGGACAAGGACAAGGAGAAGGGTTTTCTTGATTCAGTAAACATCCTCACTCCAACAATTTTCTAAGAGAAGAGATTGCATCTAATGATCTCAGGGCATCCGACTTGCTCGTTTGTCGGCCTAGGAAGCTCCACTTGGACCTGAAGCTGCTTCTCATGCGAGTTCTCAATTCCCGAGTCCCCTCAACCAAGGATGATCAAGGGCTTGTAGGGCACTCAGTTCTTTCCGTTTAAGGGCCCGAACAAACGCCTTGGACTCACCGTGGTACGCTCCAAGCTGGCGTAGGATGGACTGCAGCAGCATGCCGATCTCAAACATATCGCTAGCCGCAGTGAATGTCCCGTTCTCGTCCAGAACCCCATCCCTGCTGGCAAGCGCAAGACCACAATCTGGGGTCACTTCCGCCCCCTCTTCAGCGGCTCCCTCCAGATCTATTACCAGAAATGCCAAGTCCTCATCGTTCCCTCCAGAAGTCCCGACCTCCGTCCCCAAACTGTCTTCGTCGCTTGTGCACGGCCCCAAACACACAACATTCGGTAATCGAAAATCCCTGTGCACAACGCCTTCCGCATGGAGCACCCGGGCTGTTTCACAGCATGCAAGGGCCAGTGCCCTTGCTTCCTGCAACCAGAATGCAGGGAACGGTGAACCTGGATGCTGAAAGGCCCAGAGAATGATGCCTCCTCTACAAGCAAGATACTGCAGAAACAGACAATTGCAGAAATGTCCGCTGTGCCTTCTTTCCCAGAACGTTAGTGTGGCCCTGCTGCACCTTTTGAACCATGCTGCCAAGTGCGCCGGAAGTTGGCACACTGAGCTGGGGAAGGCCGCATATTGCAGGTTGATCGACTGTGCAAATAATGCAAGTTTGAGGAAACCCACTTTCGGCTTGTAACACTACTTCAGCAGCTCCCGATGCATATGCGCTCCAGAACATCAAGGCTTCTAAATGCTCATGTGGACTCGGACTCATACACAATCAAGCACTTGACAAACGGCCCCAGTGATCTTCACATGTTAACGCTTACAAACCTTCCTGTTCTAAACTTTTTTCACGAGTGCTGGACTTCAGCTCTCCATAATGATGAAGAACTCCTTTTCGACAGAAAGCTCCAGTATGTATTCGCACGGAATTTGCATCCCAGAGTTCCTTCCAAACATTAGGCACCTGGTTGAGAAAGCGCTCTCAGAAGGGCTCAGGTACCAGTTACAGTGGGCGATGGAAACTCGAAAAGTGCTGGTGACAAAACTCTCGAAAGGAGGCTTTTCCATCTCTTTCAGGTATGCACAGGGCTAAAGGTCGTATCGAAGCACCAGGAAACGTTGCCTCGGTTTGCCCAAAAACCTACAGGATGTTCAAACACGTAGTGATAATACTGCCTGATCAACCACAAAAGACTCACCCGCACAGTAGATGGTTCCTTGTAGTAGCCCAGGGGTGTCGTCTCCACAAGGTAGGTTTTTCGACGGCCTTCCAGCTGCGGGCCTGTCGTTGCACTTATCATGAAGGGCTGCCGGCCTTGAGCGGCCGCCTCCTTGGCCGCTGCTTTTGCTGCCGCATATGCACGCTTGACAGCGTCAAAGCTGGTCTCGTAGTCCTTGCTGTACCTTTCGAAGTCTGGAATGCTTTTGCGCATGCCGTTATCCAAGATCAAAACTGTCCCGCCTGCCACGCATTAAAAACAAAGTTTCACATTCAAGTACTCTGGAGGATCCTGACCTTGGTCTGCTCCTCTTCAAGAAGACTCGCCTTATTTGGGAGGCACTCAACCTTAAGCTGCACTTGTACACAAAAAGTGCAAGTGACCCGCCCCGATAGGAGGGGGCTTGCAGATTGTAAAACAAGCTTTGAGAAAGCTCTGAAGCTCAAGCAGATGGTGGGAAACTGCAGATGCAGCAGATTGCCTACCTGAGTGGCGTTCCAACTTCTCAAACAATGGGAGTCTGCCCGACATCTGAGGCACAGTACGCGCCATCTGAACCACAAGCCTGTAGACGAAAACCATGTTCTGGAGCAGCGTGACGCGATCAACAAGCTTGCCTATGTCCAGTTCCTCACCGACCTCTTGCACCTGCACACGCGAGTGCAAAATTTTCAGCTTGCATGTTCAGAAGTGAGCTCAAGGATGGCCTAGCATCATTCCACCTGCTCTTCATTCCCTGCGTTATTCCAAACTCTGGCGATAAAGCCAACCACCTTTCAGCAGCAACCTTCCAGATAGACTTCCCAATGGAGCTGCGCCCCGTTAAACAGCAGACATTGCTTTGTCAAACCAAGAGTTGTACGAGGGAGGTCAAAGAGGGGTACAGGTCCAATGAATCCATGACAACCAAAGGCAGCAACAACATCTCATCACAAGACTGCTTGAATAGAGGTTACGTACGTCAGCCTCATCTGACCCCAGCCAAAACCATCTGAAGCGAGCTTCGGCAGCCGCATAGCCGATGATGAACGGGACGTCGCCATAATGCATCCTCGATAATTTTCTTTTCTTCCGCCGGAGGTCGCTGATGCCCTCCTCCAGCTTCCTCTTCTTGTCCTTTCCCATCAAGAATGTACATGAGTTCGCCATGCCTGGGGTGTCTGGCCTCTTGCCAACGGCAACTGCTCGACAGGAGGTGTCTGCTTCAGCGGCATTGAATGTCAATTTGCAATTCAGCCTGAGCCCGCTGAATTTATCGAGCAGATTGAAGACGGCTTGCAACGCTGGGCTTACAAACAACGTTACACTCATCTCTGTTGAAGCGCTCGACGGGCTTTCCAGGATGTAGTGACTCAGAAATGCTGGCAAATGGGAGCCATCGGTCGAGACCAAACACTGCTTGGCAAGTGTGGGGCTCTCTGCGCTGACTCTCTTGTAACACTGCGCAGTGACGGGCAGCTTGATGCTAGTAGAGCTTTTCAGAGAGGCATCCAATGCATTCCTGGATTGTGGAAGAGTAGGTGTGGGCTCTGTCAGCAGGTGCTGCTTCACATACTCGTCTGATCTGTCGTCGTCGGACCTATCCTTGGATAAGTCCACTGCACACAACAAAACACAACCTCTTTAGACTCTTTGCAACATAAGGG